GTCTTCCTCTAGCACTAACGAAAATGAAAGGGTGCCGAAAGAAGCTTGTACTGACTAAGTCTTATGATAAAAGTACCACTTCAAACTGCATGGGAAGCGTGTCTACGAAGGAATACAGAAGTGATGTGGGGACACATTTATATCACTTAACAGGAATGCTGATGCACACAAATAAATCTGTTCCCTTGCTCTTTTTCTGTGAACGCTACATTTAGAGCAGAGGGGACATTTTCTTGTTTGGCAGCCATCACTAGCCCAGCAGAGATAAGTAGAGGTTACAGATCTGACTGTAGTTAGAAAAACATCATCCATAACAGAAAACACTGCACTTACAATAAAATGCTAGTTGTGTTTCCCCCTAACCAAGTGTGGTACTTAACACCTCACATTTTAAAAGGGAGAAAAACCCCAAAATACTAGGCTGACATTGCTGGCTGAAACCAGCACCCCCGAAGGAGCAAATCTAGGTTACAGTGAGTATTGGCTTACAAGCCAATGTAAGAAACGGTGCCTGCATTCCACACGTTCTTCACTGCAGGGACAGCCGCAGCAGGAGGCGAGTTTCAAAAGCAAGAGAGTGCTGAAAACCTTCAGTCAAAAATTCATTAAATAGTTATATGGCTGTTTTGATGAATTACACAGAGATACTCAATCTGCTTCCATATCAACATGAAACTACACTGTTTATGACAATTTTTTTATTTCATCAAAGCAAATTCTCCTTTCCAAACAAGTATCCTTTGTTCAACAGAACTGTTAATTAAAAGAAGTTATGCAATTCAGAAATGAAACTAAATGGGAAATAAAATGTATTTCAGAGGCATCTGTATCAATCTAACAAGACCCAGACTGCTGTCACTGCCTGTAATTGCCCAGAAGTAAATTCTTTAGTAGTTGACATGGGCAGAAAACGTAACCAAGCAAAACGCCAGAAGACAACGGATGCCTTTTTGGGTTTTAATACTTAAGCTGAGACTTGCCCAAGTCCCAGAGTTACCCCAAGGCAGTCCCTAGCTTACTGCTCCTGTTGAGGGTAAAAGGTGGCTGGGGGCCTTGCTGCAGGACCGCTGGGCTCCGAGCTGCAGCAATTTTGGCCCCCTCAATACCTGCTCCCTCACCCAGATCGCAGGACAGACAGAAGGGAGCACGAGGAGCCCCAGAGAGCAACTAATTCTGCACACAACCTCTGTGAACAGTGCAGGAAAGCTTTGCCAGCCACAGGCTCCCAGGTCTTACTCTGGGAGCTCTTGGCTCGTATCTGACTAGACAGTGGGCTAAAGGAAGAAATGAAGATGTAAACCAGGTCACATATGCATTTAAACTGACATTTTTGTTTCTACTTAAAACCTGCTGTTGTCTTTCCAGGAACGCATAAAACCCAGCCAAGTATTTTCTTAATATGTACATAGGCCAAATGCCAGAGATTATATACTCAACAAAAAGAAATAGATTGAGAATCCAGCAGTACTGAATTTTGCTCAGATGCTAACGTAAAGATGACATGATTAAAGAAAAAAAAAAAAAAAAGAGAAAGATTTCTGTCTCAACATCTCTTAACAGAAATTCACATAAGGACATTTCAGAAGGTGGGGCCTTTCAATAAGGTCTCTTGGATTTTTACATTTTCCTTGGGTAACACTAGTTACAGAGTCCCAGAAGAGCGCAGCGACGGAGTATGAATGAAGGTGCCTCCTTCAAGTGCGGTTATGTCCCAATTCAAGAATTTCAAAGCACAGTTTCTGTGGCTAATGCATTGCTGGACATCCCAACCATCATGGATAAATGTTGTCTGTGTATATTTGCCAGGAGAGGGGCATCATAAGATAGTGGGAAACATGATATAGCAGCAGTAAATGAAAAACAAACAAAAACACCCCCGCAAAAAAACAGTGCCTGCAACAAGGATCTGCCACAGTCTTTGGCTAAATTTACTTGAAGAAAAGAGATTTTTTTTCTGCCCTTTAAAAATGAAATAAACAAAAAAATGCTCCAAACCACTGATGGCTTTACAATTAAAGAAGTGATACCTATAGATCAACAAGACCAACAAGGAACTGAAAATAAAACTCAATACTACTGAGCACTCCTTTGCAGGTGTGGGAGCAGATTATCCACCAAACTCCCCAAATCAGAATTGTTTCTGAACAAGAATTAGTAGGACAAAATCTAATGTACCAAAGTGGGATTATTCTAATCATGTTGGATATACCCTGAAAGCTATTAAAGTGGTTGATTTTACAGTCTGGTTTCCTGTACTGACACTAGGCAATATGGTGGTGCTAGAAGGGATGGTCATTCCAACTAATTTTTGTGGTTCAGCTGTGACAACGAGACTATTTTTGAAAATCTACGAAGGAAGTAAGGTGGGGAGAAAACATAAAGCAAAAATTCAATCAAGAGTACATTAGGACAGAAAGCAATCATCTGACCTGTGGACAGAAACACATCAGGTTCGATATTTATGCCAGGCTGTATTATCCCAATAGCCAAGAAACCTAAAGAGTACATTGCCACTACATCATCTATATTGTAAATCCGTAACTGTATCTTCTGATGGCAGATGGAAACTATTCTAACTTCATTTTTTATACTGTCAGCAGAAATAAGAATACACCTCGTTATTACAGAACTGTGTGCAATTTACTTCACATAAACACGCACATACACTTTCTTTTTGGCAAGGTTCTTTTGTTTAAGGTGACAGTCCTCAATCCCTCTATGTTCCTACAAATCACCTTTTTAGAAAGTGCAAAGTGCACCTTGGTAAAGAGTCTGGCTCCGAAACAATGACCGCTCCCTGAAGAAGAACTGCCTCTAGATGAAAAAGGTATCCGAAAACGATGAGACTGGAATTTCTACTGAGGAGCAAGATCAGGAGGGAAAAGGATGAAAAGAAAGGACAAAAAAACCTGATCAAAACAAGAGAAATGGAAGAAAAGAAAGCAGCTATATAAAATCACATTATCAATAGGATGTTGCAGAATAACAACTATTCAGGGCTTAATGACAGGAGAGAGCATGCACACGTTTCTTCATAGAATGAAGAACTGAAAACATGACTTCCGATGCAGACATTTTACTTCAAAGCAGAGCAAGGTAAATGCACGATGGTACTTGGGTGCGCTGGAATGGGTTGATTTAATCCCCTCCTCCTGATGATGCAGATTTAATTGAACTGGAACCCTTCTTCGGGGTGGGCTACAAATTGTTTAACAAGTTCTTCCTTGAATCCTTGAAGGCTACAAATTCCTCCTTATTCTTTCCCAAAGAGTATTTATATTTTTGACACAAAATAGAACAGCTCCATTAGCTGAAGATAACCACCACAAATATTTAGCATTGCCATCAGGGGACATCCAAGAGAGCAAAAAATGACAGGCCAACACCCTGCAGGTACAGGAGGAAGCTGAACCTCTGGGAGACCCTCCACATTTCTGCAATTTGGTAGCACACTATACTTCAAGTTTTGTCAACCTAGACCCAATTTTTGTTCCAACTCTAAATAGCCATAATTTGAACGAAATATGATGAATAGTTTTAGGGTGACCAAAGCACTTCCTTTTTTTGCAAGCAATCAACTGCCTATCCTTACTTAATTGCCCCATTTCCAGTAAGGAAACCCTCCAAAAAGTATTGATAGGACAAGTTATCCTTTCCTGCACTCACTATAACACTGTCAGTTTGTTAAGCTGCCCAGAAGAAATTGTTACTTCACTTCAAAAGTAATGGTGACTTTCAAAACGATCCATTTCAAAAGCAAGATGTTACTTTTCATTCACAGAAAGACTTCTTTGAGAATTTACATTCTCCTTTCACTTGCGTTCCAAGAGAAACTTAAATCCAAGATTATTTCCTTCCAGTTATACTTTTTATCTGGATTGTAAGAACATTTGCTGCCTTCGAAAATGTGTACTTGGCTCTGTTCGGGGTTTTATTTTGATGTATAATGAAATCAGAATTGGAGGCAACAGATCCCTGAACAGGAACCACAGTCAAAGATCAAGAATTGCTTCTCTGTGTAAGGCGGGGGGGGGGGGGGGGGGGGTGGTGGGGGAAACAAGTTTATTCCTATTGAGTTTCAGGGTTCAGCACACATAGCAGGACTCTTGAATTCTGTCTGGTGAAAAACAGTCCCCTATAGCAAGAGGTGAAACTCTTTTCTACTCCAACCACCACATTACAGAGCCCAGTTAAAACATTCCTTGACACAGTCAAACCTTGGCTTTCTTCTGAAGCATAAAGATGACCATGTTTAACCTAGTCCTTGAGTCAGATGATTGGCGTGCACCACATAAAGCTCTGGTCTGGTTCAAGGACACCGCTAAAGCACAGCGATGCTGGGTGACTGCTCCCCTTCACAAACAGCTCCTCTTTCCACCGCTCACTGTGCAAGGCAAAAGGAATGCTCAAAAAATAACGCACGGGAGAGCCATTTTCTTTCAGTTCACTCCAGCTACTATTCTACATTTTCTCTCTCTCCCCTCAACATGCACCCGCGTCAAAAGAAATTACCCTTTCTTTTTACTCAAAGAATGGTTTCTGATTGCCCCTGCGCATATGGATGACTTTAACATCAAAAATGTTTGCACATAAGAAACTTCACTTTCTCCCAGTTTAAACATTAAGGGTTTTCTTCCCGCTTCTGAACTACAAAAAAATAAACAGTAATAAATATCAAATATATTGTAGTTACTGGCGAGAATTGTCTAAACAGCCAGACTAGTTATAAACAGTCAGTGATGACAGACTAACATATGTTAAGCTTCCCATTATCGTGCCAGAAACCATTATAATCACCTTAATTACAGCAACAGTGGTTTTCCCCCTCGGTGGCGATGTAACGCAAGGAAGTGCAACTTCTTCTGCTCTGTAGTGTATTGCTGTCTATTGCAAAGGCGAGCATATGCACATATTGTCAAGCATTTGTGCAAGCAGATCAAGTTGCCAAATATGCAGCTAACCTAAATGGTCTCAAAAGAGGGAAAGAAAGCAAACTTTACCTTGTGTGTTTTGTTGAAATATTTTGTTCAGATCCAAAGAGGAAGCTCTGGAATGTGATTTCTGTGGCCTTGGTGGTGGAGTAGGGGGCTCTTCTCCCTTTTTCATAGCATCTTCTATTGATGTGCTAGAATAAGACCTAAGGTAGAACAGGGGAGGAAAAAAGCAGAAAATATTTTATTTCAGAAATTAATTTTAAACAACTATAGTGAATAGTATCTAAAAATACAGCGACCAGAACTTAGGGTCATGGTGGAAATTCCTTGCCCTAATGACTAAAAATTCCTCCTTATAACAAAACAGATTTATTTGGCAGAGGGACCTACACATCTGGGGAAAGGTACAGGTCATGCTTACAGGGCTAGTATTTTTTAAGGCCTTTAATATCACAGTTTCAGGCTTTCCTACATAACTTTAACTGTCAACAGGATAATTGTAGCAACTATTTTGAATAAACCTGAGTAAAAACTTTTTCCCCCCTTACAGTTTCTGTTGCCTTTCCCAGCTGCGAGGGTAGTGTCTACACAGGTACCGCCTCAACCTACCACTTGCAAGACACATTTTGCAATTTATAATATTCTAACTACCAGAATAATTTTTTCATAGCAAACAGTCACCAAATTCCACAAAATCCAGAAAAAACGAATGGCTCCGAAGTGATCAACACTGGTCAAATACACGTCTCAGTATACCTTTCTAGGCCCTTCCACAACCCATTAATCACAAGGCAGTGCATTTGCTAAGAAATTTGATTTTGCTGAATAGTGTCCAATATTTTTCAGCTGTTGTAGTTACCAGTTTTTCTGCAAGACCGAGAGCTTTGTTCAAAATCAGCACTGACAATGTGAGATGTTACACTTACTGTAACACATTACGCATGACAGGCAAGACCAAACCCACACTCGAGTAGAACAGAAATAACTCCCAGTAATGGGAAACGGGTCCTTTTTTTGCCAAACAGGCTGTTGCTGGAAAACGGCTCTTTAGCGGGACAGACATTTGGCAACGCTGATCCTATGTTTCCGATGTAAACTTTAATAAATACAGGAGTGAAAGCTGTAATTGCTTCAAAATTTGCATGTGACACAAAAACCTCTGCTGATGCTGAATTTTTTGTCTTGGTAGAGTTTTGAATTCCATACCCTTACTATATCAGACCTAACCCAACCAACCTGAAATAAATGGGAAAGCTTTGAACCAGCATCTTAAGTTTTTATACTTTTACTTTCCATATTATGTGCTGTACATTTTACTCGCATTACGACTGCACAACCTAACAGTTTGAGATTTTTAACTGTTTTTTAAAAGATCGAGTAAGATAGCAGCTGCCAGGCAAAAATATGCCTGCCCCAGCAGTGCCAACACGGAGCCCTGTGACAGCGAATCGTCGCTTGCAGCAGGCAGACCTGGCACCTAAAAGCCAGTTACGAGTCAGCAGCTAAGAATCCGCCCAGCTTAGGCTAGAAAGCCAGACTCCAGAGCTGAGAGCCGTAACAGAGTCGGATCGTAGCCTCTGGTGGTCAGGCACACCTGAAGACAAGAGACCCTCGAGGTTATAGAGCCCTCCAGGCTACGCAGGACACGCGCAGCGGAAGGTCTGAGGTCAAGGATGCGCTCAAGAAGCTTTAGCCTCAACTTCTGCATCGAAGTAGGGACATACAGGCAGATGTGAGACAGTCGTATGTGACAGTAGTCACATTCAAGTGACTTTTTCCAAACCTAAGTATTTGCTATTTTATGCATTTTTGCGTAAAATACTTTTTACACATTTTTTGTATATTTGCAACTTATGATTCAGTAACACAGCAAGAAAATTTAAAACAATATGAAAACTAAAGAGCTTTGGCTCGCAGTAGAAAAACAGCACACAAGGCAGTTCAGCCTTCCTGGATGTAGGTCCTAAGAACACCGGATTTGAATCTTCATTCATCATGCTTATAGCTGATCTCTTATTAGCAGGCTTTGACAAGCTTGTAAGGAGCGAGCTCCTGATTATGCTCTCATGACCTAAGAAAAAGAAATGAAGCCCTCTAACTAGCACCAAAAAAACAAGTTTGAAAGTGAATGCACGGTACAGCTATACACCAGAATGGTGAACAGCCAAACCCAACACGTAATCCATTTATACACAGTATTTTCTGGCGCAGGTTTCCCTTTTCCTTCGAACATCCAAATTCAGCTGTTGTCATTTCTAGCGCACAACAGGCTAAGTCTGAAAGTCCTTCCATCACACACCAACCAGCCACAGTCAAGTACACGCACGCCAACGAAGGGATTCACTCACCCTCACCTGAGAGCTGAGCTGCTCTTGCTGTTTCTGTGGGACTGTGCAGTGTCCCACTCTATATGCAACCACGGCACAGCTTTCACAGCACAAAATTCCTGAGAACGTTGCCCGCAATGGGGTGGTCCCTGCTGTCCCACCACGATGCCCCTGGGGCAAGGCTGGAGGCGGTCACCACCCCGATAAAGCAGTGGGGCTGGGCAGACAGGCAAAGTCCCAGCGCCTTATGACCAGAGACCGCAGGGCTCTAGGCAGTACTTATGCAGGGTCTAGAGCTTACAGATCTCTCCTGGTAAATCTGTCTTTCATCTGAGCTGGATTTCCAGCACAACACCAATTAAAAACCAAAAATTTAAAATGCAACACCAGTTCTTACACCTTGAGTCTAACACCATAGGAACGTACATCTTCTCCTGAAATAGAAATGAAATCAGTACCTGGATCGTGGTCTGGCTTTAAGTGCATTAGATTCCTGAGCAGCTGAAACAGAAAAGAAAAAAGAACCACTAAAACATCATATTTTAAACAAACACCTTTAGCTGAAGGATCAGTGTTCATTAGAAATGTGAATGTTGCAAATGTGGATGTGAGAGTGTGCTCACCTCACATGAGCAATGGGGATTGATTTTTGCTTCTCCTTCCCCTTTGTCTTTGTAGTGTGTGGATGTCCTAAGAATTCAAAAGCCCGCAGGTAGTCAGACCTTCACCTTTTAATTTGGTTACCAGAACAAAGGAAAAACAATAGGTCTGACAGCTCTGACCTGTACTCCTGGATGTAGTCGTGACAAAGCAACATAAGGAATAGCATAAACTTTACACAGAAAACATCTTACTCCTAGTCCAGATATCTATTAGTTGTCCTGCTTCCCAAAGCATGCAGGTTTATGTCCTTCCTAAATACTTTAACTAATTAGTATAAATGTACATCTTCTTACCACAAATTAAAAAAGTTAACACATCAGGTTGAGACTACTTTGACATTGGGAAAGAAAGATATTTGAGGGTAAAAAACTTCACAGGCTAAGTGTTGATCAAACACATTTCTTATCAATGTAAAAATCAGTTTCTTTTATTTGGATTAATTCCAAATATCCTGCCACACGCAGGTTTTATGTGATAGGAAAACAACAGTGCTGACTTACCTTCTCTGGGTAATTCCTCAAGGCTGTTCCTTGGTTTACATAGTCTTTTTGTGACTTTTCTGTTACTCTCCTTACTAACATCAGATAATTTTGAGAAAATGTATCTGTTTGACTGCTTTCAAATTCAGCCCACTGAGATATCCTCAAGGTACTACAGCAGCGTCAATGATCCCCATGCACACACAAAGTAAATCCTTGTACTTCTCCCATTATTCTGCTAATCGAGGCACATTTAAGAGAAGCAAGTAGGTTGGGGGGGTTGGGGGGGGGATTCTCAGAGTTTCTAGCTTCCTTCGGATACATACCTACTCTGAAGTCAGACATTTATCATCAGCTACTATACAGCACTACCTGAGAATATGACAGATCCTCCAAAACACAGAGCAGGAGCTACCTGTGGCAGCAGCTGGCAAATACTGACTTTCTAATGGCTTGCGTTAAACTACTGCATAGACCCTCCATAGGAGGCTTTAGGCTCACAGAAGACAAGCAGCAGCATATGGCACATGTATAGCCACACACTATTTCTTCATAAAAGAAACTGCTTTTAAGGTCATGCAGTGCTAGCTGGTGCTTTGGGTGGAATAAACCCAAATGTAGCTGGCAGTGACACAAAAAACTACTTATAAACCAAGTTCTAGTAGATTATTGTCACCACCAAACTGGCTCACAGTCATTCCAGATTTCTGTGCAATAAACTCCTCCTAGCAACTAAAGGGGAGAGAGGGAATTATTATTAAAATATGCAGTGGTGCTAATCCTCCTCGCTCTCTCTCTGTGTCAAACTCTCAGAGAACATAACTTTAGAAACTGGTTCCCTACAGCCATATGACCCAATTTTTCCAATGCTGAAATTGCTGATTATTAAATTACATACACAATTATTAAATATATGCCACTTAGAAATAGGAGATATAAATCCTTTCCAAGCTAAGCCATGTTTAAGAACCTTCAAATTTTCCTTCTTTTATGGAGACCGTAATTCTGTTCATACTTCTTTTAGAAAGCCTTTCTTCTAAAAACCTGCAGGTAAAACTGACATTCAAACTCTCCAAGGACATCTTGCTGAGGTAAACAGGAAAGCACACAAGAAAGAGAGAATCCTGAAATGACTATGAATAAAAAAATGAGAGCAACAGAACACTTCTGCCAAGGTTTTTCTTTTAGGCTTTTGAAATATCAGTAAATTCAAGGCTACAATTACACAATACCCAGACTAAGCTTTACCTTTCAAAATAAATATAATATAAAAAATATTATAAAGCAGGTAGTTCATTATCAGGACATACAAATAACTGTGACAGGATTTCCATAAAATGTGCAGTTATTTCGCTACGCTCAGTCTGTGCGTACTTTGTGTTTAAGGTGCAGGTTTATACACACACACAACGACATAAACAGTTTTGTATCACCTTGAATGATTAGCCAGTTCATGAATTTTCCATATTTCTATTGCTAAGGATACATAAGCCTAACTTACATGAAACTGATATAAAATTAACACTGTTGAGTAAATTAATTGCATTTATTATTTAAAAGTTTATACGATTCCTGGAGTAGTAGAGCCTGATTAACTGAACAGCTTGGTCTGCACTAATTAAAATCATATACGATGATGAACTCTTATTTATTCATTCACATCACAGGAGAGTATGAAGGTTCCCGATCTGGGTGTTTAACTGCTCCCACCCCCCTCTCCCAATACAACTTCATTAAACATGCCTAAAGATGCAGGCTCAGGAACTTTTGGCTGTAGCCTGGTGGCTTATACTCAGCTGGTGCCTTCTTGCTTTACAGGCTGATTATCGGGTGGAAAACTGTACCATAAAAGGTGCAACTATGCTACACTGCTAAGGAAAAACCAAAGAATTCCTCACTAGTTTAAATCACCTTCTCTGACTCATCTATTAGCTCTTACTGGTGGCCTAGGCAGAAAGGTACAATTTAAACGCCAATAAATTTGGCCCTTAATCCTTTAGATGTCTAAAGCCAACAATGATCTTGCACTTAGGAGCCTAAATAAACTGGCCAGATATTCGGAGATGCTGAGCATATAAAGTTTTTACTACCCTCAAATTTCTAGTCCTCCTGATAGCAAAGAAAACTTTCCCATAATGAACCACGGCAGTATCATCTTTCCTGAATTTACGTAAACAGCCCACATCAATAACAAAAGAAGGATGTAAAATTTCTCCCTCTTCACCCCGAGTTTTCATCCTGAAGGTTAATGATTGCAATGACCTTTCAGAACGATGAGCAGTTCCGAAATAACCACTCAATTACCATGCTGTATCTAGCCCACTGCACAGATAAACATTTTTACTTCTAACATCGATTGCATCATGCAACCTGAGAACGTGCTTGCTCAAACCCTCAATGTCCAGGAGAGCGAGGGGAAAGCCCTACAGTGACAGGAGTGACGGCGATGGGGTGAGACTCTGCCACCGCCTCCCTTGCTATACAAACACAGCAACGCTGCTGGAGGAGCACAGCAGCATCCAGAAGACCTCCCTGACTTGGAGATGAAGGACATGGGGGAAAGAGGACAGCGGCACAGGAGACGTGCAGGTGACAATAGATTTTTTTTTTTTTTTTTTTTTTTTTCCCCCCCCCTAAGCCTACCGAAGATGGAATTGCTGAACTGAAGATAAAACTGCCTGGGGTGCTCCTGGGCAAAATGGCAGGGAAGAGAACTGAGAGTCTCGCAACCACCCGCCTCTCCCCCGAGAGGGAAGTGTAAGAATGTGTGTGTGTGTGAAGGAGAAGCAGCAACCATTCGAGAATAGGAGCTGAAGATAGGAAATCTGGCAGCTGCCAAGTGTTTGGGAAGAAGCCAGGAAAAAAAAAAGATTTGGGAAATGAGGCATGCAGCTGTTGGGCAGCCATAAATCAATTCAGCTATAAGACAAAACTGCCGTGACAGACATGCGGGGTCAGTTTTCTTAATCAAGGATATCTTCACGAATAAAAACATTTATGCAAAAGGAAAAGAAAGCAAGTCCAGGTTTTAGCTTGACTGGGACCAGCGAGGGCTTGCAAACACTCTAGGAAAGAGATTAACAAAGAGGAAAGCAAGGGAGGTCTGATGAACTGAACTGGATACATGGGAAGTTTCTGGAGCCACTAAGCAATTTTGACATATGCCTTTCCAGAAATAACATTTTCCAGTATGATAGGAACAAGGACTGTATGTTGGAGCTGGAGAGAGAAAAATCAGGGGTGGTTTCAAGAAGAAACCCTGAAGAAACGTCCCCTGAATCAAAAGCTTCTGTCCTTGCTGTAAGTGCCACAAGGTCTGTGTTTCCAAAAGGCTATCTACCCTTAAACTCCTTGACAGAAAATAGGAAAGCTCAGTTTTTACAAAGAAATAGGCCATTTCAGAATAGTTACTGAATACTGATTCCATACTCAAGAGCTTTTATCAAGAGGTACAATATTCATGCTCTGGCATCTCGTTTGTAGTACAGAAAAATAAAATCCATACTCCTTACAAAATGCTATGTTAAAAACATTTCCCACATGTGAAGAACGCACACTAGTCATTATGAGGTAAAAGCTAAGTTCAGTAGTAAAACAGTATGAAAGCAAAGGATTTTAAAAAAATTAATCAAATGACATTAATTTAGGCTTACTGTGATATAAAAATATTCAGTCAAAATTCTAATGGAAGTAACACATCCATTTTTTTTTCTTCTTACCTGTTTTCACAGTCAAGTGCTGAAATTCCTTTGGTATTGTTTTGAGAGCAGTGCTTACTTTAAGAGCTTAATAAAAAAAAACAAAACAATGAAAGTTACTTTAAGTATGTGCAGGTAGAATCTACAGATATCAGCTCTGAGAAAGGAGCATCTAAACCGGTGTTAGTTAAAACGTCTAATAACGCTAAACATACTCGAAAAGAAAACAGAAGCAGATGAATACCCTCAGAACACCCAAGCACTCAAACAATTTTAAGAGCACAAGAGTCAGGAACAGAAAGTCCCATGCCCAAATTGCCAAACAATCCCAAATTTTGAGAACCGGGGGTTTTGGTGTCCAAATCCATGGACTTCTGTTTCAGAGACACAGTGCTCTCAGAGAGACAGCAGCTGGTGACCCTTGGCAGAGCTGGCACTCGCCTCTCCCAAGTTACGAACCTGGAAAACCATGGCACACGAGAGTGGCTGCTTTTGGCAAATGAAACCTCACCAGCCCGCCCCAGGGAACGTCACACGGCACCGACAGAGCCAGGGTTAAAATTTAGGAAATCCCAATCTTTGTGCTTATTCCCCTTCCACTGATGCCTACGCATCCTTTCTGAATGACTTTCTTAAGGCGCTTTTAATGCATTTTAACATATTTTAATGTACCGTAATATTAGACTAGACATTAGAAATAAGTTTTTTACAATGAGGGTGGTGAAGCACTGGAACAGGTTGCCCAGAGAGGTGGTGGAGGCCCCATCCCTGGCAACATTCAGGGTCAGGTTGGACGGGGCTCTGAGCAACCTGATCTGGTTAAAGCTGTCCCTGCTCACTGCAGGGGGGTTGGGCTAGATGACCTCTAAAGGTCCCTTCCAACCCAAAGCATTCTGTGATTCTATGCAGTATTATAAATGACTGCTTGGCATGAAGTCTCTCATCTCCGTCTGCCTTCATCAAATAAAACACATGGGAAAAGTCCGGGTCTCATGATCCAGTTCTATTTACATTATCTTCCACATTTAAGTATATTATAATTTGACAGAGTGGAGTTAATTTACTTGGATAGTTTTGAAAATGCAGGAAAATTTGCTTTTACAGTCCTAAACTACAGGTTCTTGACTTCTGGGGAGATCTCCTGAGTCAGGAGAGCTACCTGCTCTTTCATTTGTCAGAACAGCAACAAATGGTAGAACAAGAGCCTTTGTTCTTTGGCTGAGAAGGTAGGAATCTGCGTCATAAATACAGCAAATCTTCAGCCCTGAAGGACTGCATGTACCAAAGCAGCTTCCCATCTGACTTAACATGGCAGCTACCAAGAGCAAAGCGCAAGTTTTTCACCTACATAGGGAAGAAAAAAAGATTCCCCAAGTAAAAAATAAACCTGGCCTAAACATATGAAAGCAATAACCTTCAAGGTTCAAGTCCTGCTCTTTTCCATTATGAATTTTACAGCAAAACAAACCTTGCCAACAAAACATGAACTTCTTGGAATATGCTGACGTGTCAAAATGTTTTACAAACACCCGTCAAGTCTGACAACGTTTCTTTGAACCAGGGACACTGGGAATCTGCCATACTTGGTCACACCTGAGTGTGGAAGGTGATTCAGGAATGTGAACTACCTGGTCTCACGGCTCTGATGCAACCTCAGCAGGTGGACGGCTGGGAGGAGGTCAATGTGTATCATTGTTTTTATTAATGTATAATCCACAGCTCTGAGAATAAGGCAACAAAATACCCACAACTGTTTTGTTTCCACAGCTGAGGGACAGGGACAGCAAGCGAGAACCTGAAAGGTCAGGGAAAGGGCATACAAAAGGGAACAACTGTGTGATGATCCAGCGCCAATTCTGGAAGCCCTAGTAGCCGCTGAGTGGCAAAAGAGAAAGATCACTTCAATTCCACATGGCTTGCAGCTGACAGATTTCAAGTGAAATAAATGAATCAAGTATTTGCAATCCAGTTTGTCCAAACCCTTTGTTTTCTAAGAAAATATAGGGACCTTTGTTTTTTAATAGGAATAAAACCTATTTTTGAAGCACTGCTACTTCCTGCAAAAGGGGAAATCCAAAATTTGGCACAATTTAGTCTTTACTCTTACAGAATTCCCGATAACAACAATTACAACTTTGTTGAAATAAGAAGTGCAACATTATTGCCTTAGGACTAGACATATTTTAGCAGGTGCATTTCATATCATTCACATGTGATAGAACTAATTTTGAAGCAAACATCCATTTATTTGTCTTCAACTCAGCTGCTGTCAACGATTTAAAAGCAATGTCTTGCTTTTAAATCTATAACAACACATAGCTAGCTTAGAAATTAAAAATGCCATTGCTTCTGTCAGTGAATATATGGAATTACTAATAACACGCAGAACTTAACCCATACCGGGGGCGGGGGGGGGAGTGATTTATTTGAATACCTTGTTTGTCATCTTTCTTTGCATCTTGTAGCAGGGCAGAGTTATCAGGTACCTCTTCAGCTGATGCCTTCTGAAAGAAAGAAGACATATTTATTCTACTGATTGGCATAGCACACATTTCCACAGTCCAATATTTAAGAATACAGACCAACACAAATAAAGGTGATATTCTCACTTGCACCACGATTTGCTTTGTAAAATAAAGAAGCATAGAGGGCCTTCAGAAAGACAACTGTAACTCTGCTTTTCAAGGTACAGCAGTTCCACACCTGAAATTAGTTTGAGAAGCACTTCAACAGTGACTCACAAGGAACTAAGGACTATATGTAAGGAGAGACTTCTCACAACAGAGCAATGTCATTCTGTGTTTTCTTTTTGGGCGTAACACCTGTGTTCAGGTTGAGGAAACCTTCTCCAGCTCCTTCACAAGACTCAGTCTCCATCAGAACAGCCTTTCTAGCCAAAACTCAAGGCGTACTGCAGAGCCCATTAGTTCTGCATCTAAAGTCTTCCAGCTGAGGTGGCTGATCCTCAAGACTACTCTTTTCTATCAACATGCAGTCATTAAGACAGGAAAAATAAGTTTCATCAGCATGTCTGCTGGAGGCCCATTCAGGCCTCTGATGGGAAAACAGGAAACTTCTCCCCAGACTTATTCCTTAACTTTTCTTTATTTCAGCAGCAACTTATAGTACAGTCATTTGTTGTTCTTCTAAATTCTGCTGCGTAGCTCACAAGAAGGAACTAGCTAGGAACAAATTCTACTACCGTTATCTGTAAGAACAAGGATATATTCTGCAGCCAAACCAACAATATCAGAAAACCCAAGCTTCCCTAAATATTAAGTGATGCTGGTTTTTTCCCCAGGGAGCATGGAAGAGGTTACAATCCATTGGGCCAAAAAAAAAAAAAAATTCAGAAATATAGATTTGCAGACATTAAAAGGCAAAAAAAATCTCAAGTCAATAATTCAAGAAGGCCAAGTCCAGAGTAAAGAGTAATGAGATCTATTTTATGAAGTTGCACGTGGGATTCCCTAATGCTTCTGAGGAAGCAACACAGCAAAAGTATAGCTTGAGGACTCTGAAAATGTTTGAACAAAACACTTCACATCCCTAGCTAGCCTTGACACTCTAAAGAGCATCAAACTAAAGACCTAATTCAGTGCCTGCTTGAACCAACGGAATGACTCGCACAAATTTCAATAAACTTTGAGCATGACATTTCTGAGGCAGTTTAGAGCAGCTCCAGCCAGTCATTTTATGCATACAGTGTGAAATCTTGTGTCTTATATTTAAGCTTTGGGCAGCGAGAAAGCTTGTGGAAAAGAGCCAAAGGAATGGAAAAGGGAAAAAAAAAAAGGAAAAGACAGACCAGAACCAGACTGGGAGACTAAAACTTGAGAAAAAAAAAAAATGGAAAGACAAAACCTCCTTGGTTAAGAAAAAGCAGTCACCCTTGTCATTTTTGAGCATAACTTCAGCAGTCTTTGTGTGTTTTGTAAGTTTAACAAAGCCTAGCATTCAGGTGACCTGTCTCCTGACATTATTTTCTTTATGGATGCATTCAAGAACTGTTTCCATTGTATTGCAGTACTGCAGTTCAGCAGTCACAGTAAAAATGGTCTTCTGAAATTAAATTAAACAGCCTGAATGGATGATAGGTGGAAAGAGACAAAGACATGGAGATAATGCATAACTGATTGCATTGATAATATAATATTTTTAATGTAGCGATCAAGTATCTAAACTATATTTCCCCAAGTAGCCAAGCTACAAATTAAATTGCAACAGTGAATTACTGCACTTCCCACAGACAGAGATGAATGGGAGATGAATGACCTTCCAAATGATACCCATTCAGTGTATTAATTCTGGACACAAAAACATCAGTTGAACACAAAAAAAAAAAATCAAGTCAGAATCATTATCAAATCAGTTTTGAGAAGAGATTTTATAGTCCATTAATCTTGGATAACAAAGGACCAAAAGAACAAGGCCCTGAAACAAACTGAGAGCTTTGCCCTACATGTCTAGGACCCAGATAGTGAAGAAATGGAGCAAAACCAGTCAAACAATTGTGACATAGTCAGGTAACACTACCTGTGCTTAGCCAGCAGGCAATCATGCTACAGATTCTTCTTCACTTTCAACCTAGCTGTAAAAAAACCTGATTTTGCTGAACATCCTGACACCTTGCAGAACCTAGGAATGGAGCAGAAGATCCAGCTGTTCCCCCAAGAACATGATTTGACTACAAAGGCAGCACAGTAATCCGCACGTTATTGGCAGTTATGGTGTGCATGTCTCGAGGAGGAGAGCGCAGAGATAAGGCAGAAGAGGTCTGAAAGCTTAACTGCTGAAAATCAAATTAAAAATTACAACATATTATGGGGGACTTGTTGCTTGTTTGGGGTTTTTTTACATTTTGTGCTGTATACCCTCTACAGCTATTTAATTATTACTATACTATTCCTAATATTATCGTCTCCACTGCAGCAGAAAAATCTAAAAAGAAAAAAAACATACAATGTAATTGCTTAGGAAATCATGTCCTTCTAGATTTACCCTTACTCTACACACACATTCAAGGACCACAAACAAGAAGAGCCTAAAAACCAGACATTTAGTAAGATTATAAAATTGTATTGGTTAGGTTACTGAAATGACATTTTATTTCTAAGAAACATAAGATGACTCTGAAAGCCAGATTTCTGAGCTTTCTGAAATATATAAAAGAACGTTCTAATCTCACGGTCCCAAAGCCTGTGCTACTAAAGAGCAAACTTCCTCACAGCTCTGCAATAACCAAAGACCACTTTGTGTATCTGGGTAATCACTTGCGAAGCCAGAGAGATATTGAAGCAGACCCGGAAGCCAGGAAGTTACATAAGCTAAAGCTTTTTAATTATGTGTATAAAAGATACATAATTATATATTTATTTATA